GTATGTACAACTCATAGTGTTGATTAGGGATGTAGAAATAAGCTAATCCTCTATTCTAAGTTCCTAGTAAGTTTTCCTTATCTCTCTACCTAATTTTAGTTCCACACAATTCAGGTGTAAGGGATTCATGTTAGAGTTTTTAACATAGTGAGATGTTTTAGTTACTGTTTTAAATTTTTAATGCACACTATATACAATGCAAATACTATGAGAACAAGTAAAGTGAATGTGATATCTATGTGTAATATTCAAACCAATGTGTGTAAATGTGGTATTCACAACACCAATTTTGGTATATAGCGACATTTTTTGCAATGTTTTTTTAAACGCCATTAATATTGTAACATCAGTGGAGTTTTTGTATAAACGCCGTGATAGATTGTTAAAAGGCAACGTTGTTGGAGAAACGTCGCAATAGTTTGGTATCTTAGTAGCGTTTTGTATAAAAAAATGCGACTATAAATTATTAAAAGGTAGTGTTACTGGAGAAACATTGTAATAGTTTGATATGCTAGTGGTGTTTTTATAAAAAAAAAACAATGCAATAAATAGCCAGCGCTTTTTGTGACTTGTTTTTGCCGGGAGTGCTTTATTGGCGCTTTAAAACGCCACTATAGGTCTAAAAACAGGCCACTTTAGACCTATTCTCATGTAGTATACCTTTGTATACAATAGTGGCACTTAAATATGCGTATATGTACATGTGATGTAAAAGGGTTAATGAAAGCATTTTCCAAAATGATAAATTCACCATAGTGAACGTACGTTCTAAAACATCAATTATGTATGTAAAAATGTGGATATATTTATTTATAGATTGTTTTAAAACCTTTAAATATAAGGCTTAATGTCAAAGTTTCTAAATTATATTTAAAGTTAATTTTATATTTATTTAAAAAAAGTTAAATTTTAGGTACCTAAAAATATTTCGTTAAAAATATGTCTAATGTTTCCAACGTTATATTTTTAAGTATCTGAACTGTAACTGCTGTTAAATTTAGACGTTATTTGACACATTTCACGCATATAAAATTTCATTTTTTTTATTTTTTTAAAGAAAAACACTTAAAATTACATTTTTTTTAAATTCTAAAAAAATCACAAAATCTCGAAAAATCTTAATTTCAATCCCCTCACCACCACTGGTTGCCACAACCGCTGCTCATTGGTTGAAATCTCGACAGCACGTAACCTCCCAAACACCTAACGACCGAACTCCTATGCTTCAAGCGACGATTGCAGTGAAAAATAGACGATTGCAACAACTTATCGATTCTAAATAAGGACAATGATTACATCAAATCAAGCGATGATTCCTCTCGCAGTGCTTTGGAATCTGATTATATGAAGTGGTCGATGGTAAGGACGACGACCAAGGCAACATAGACAACGACCAAGGCAACATAGACAACGACTGACATAGGTAAAAGGATTTGTAGATAGGGTTTTTAGAGTTTAGAGTTTTTTTTTAGATTTAAGAAAAATTTGAGATTTTTTATAAATAAATTATATATTTTTTATTTTTATTTTTATAAGTTAACACGTATCATTTAGGTGTAACACCAAAAATGGAAAAATATTAAAGGGGGTTTTGAATTCGTAATGTGTCACTTTAATGGGAGCCTTTTTCATATTTCTCTGAAGTTAATAATATCTTCAGATTACCATAGTTCATCTAACGGTCGCTATCAATCATCAGTCTGTCTGCTAAAAGTAAAATGGTAAATTACACTATCTCATATTTCAATTACTATACTTTAAATTCAATCAATTTCTTTACTGAATTTAATACAATTAGTATTTTTGATCACTCATCTATTTTCTCACTAAACAACTTTATAATGAGTTATTATAAAGATGCAAAACGACGTCGTTTTGATAAAAATTTTGTTTTAATAAAACGACGTTAAATATTTAACGATTAAGTGACCAATAATGCTAATTGTATTAAATTTAGTAAGAAAATCGAATAAATTTAAAGTACTATAAGTGAAATAAAAGAAAGAATAAAATTCAATGATGATTAATGTAATTTACCGAAACAATTCTGGAGCTCTTCATCGAAATGGTAAAGTTAGCGGAATTTCAGCTCTAACAGGAAACACGTGAAATACAGAAGCAGTTTTTATCCTTCGGGTAAGGAAAAAAAGGTCATCTATATTAGTAACCATTTAATTATTTAGCCTTTTCATTTTAATCATTTATCTTTTAATTTGTCAACGTATCACCTAACTATTTAATGTATCCGAATTATATCACATGTCGTTAATACTTAATATAACTACTGACATGACAATTAACAAAACTTATATAATTATATATTTATTTCTCAATGTTTACTATCAATTTGGTCCTAATTTTAATTTAAATCAATAAATTTAATCTTCTAATTAGATTGTGACACGTGCCACCATTTTATTGAAGGAAAATAGAAAAGAAGGGATTCAAATCTGGGCCAAATGAAAAATATGGGTGTATACCGATAGGGGTTGATTCAAGTGGTAAGTAGTTTGATATCGTTTATGCAATGTCTTAGGTTCGAGTCTTTGTGTATACAAAAAATTTCTGCTTGGAGACTCACCCACTAAAATTAGATGAACGACCCGAGTCAGTCTAAATTAGTCAAAGCAATGGAGGACAACAAAAAAAAACATGGGCTCATAAACAATTGAAGTAAATCATACATTTGGATATCAATGGAATATATTTTTATATAAAAACATATATGTTAAACATGATTAAAAAAATTAAATTTAAGATTTATATATTTTGTAAATTAAATTTAATATTTTTTACATTTATAATTTAAAGAATATATATATAATTTTAAATTGAATATATTTATATAATTAATAATTTTATTTTATTAAAACTAAAATATATGAAGAATATAAATGATTTAATCTATATTTGAATGTACGAATCATTTATGTTGTGTATATTTTATTCTTCTTATATAAAATAATATTTAAAATATATTTATATTTCTGAATAAAAATATATTTATATATTTAAGTGTATTTAAATAAACAAATAAAAATATATTTACATATTTAAACGTAAGAATCATCTTTATTTTTTATAAATTTTATTTTAATAGAAAAGCAAAATTATTAATTAAACTAATAATACTCAATTCAAAATTAAATATATAACCATTGAAACCTAAATGTAAAAAAATAATTTAATTTAAAAAATATACAAATTTTAAATTTAATTTTTTAATATTGTGTCAACTAATTTTTTAAAATATAAACAAATCTATTAACTTATTATCAAAATGTAAGATTTGCTTTAATGACTTAATACTCTTTGCTTCATATTATTTGCACTTTGCTCCTTTCCTTTTATCATATCTTTATCAGTGCCCATGTAGTTATTTACTATTTATATTCCGGGTCACTATATTTCTTATGTTTTCATTTTAGTCCAGGGTGGTTTACACTGCTTGTAGTATGTTATGCATTTGTATATATTTTTTTTATCAAAATACTTTATCCTTAAATCATTTGTTTAATTTTAAATAAATAAAAATAATTAATAATTCTTATATAATATTTTTAAAATATTTTAATATTTAAGATATAAATACTTATATCATAGTATAAATAAATATATGGTGATTATAAATCAAATAAAAAATTGATTTAATTAACTAAATTTTTGAACATATAAATTACTAACCATCCAAATACAGAATTTCTTTACTCCCACTTAATTTGAACAAAGCCTTCAGAAAAGAAAAACTTAACCTATGTTTGACAAGTGATCCACATATTTTCTAATATTTTTCTGTTATATATATATATATATTGAGGTTAGAATCACTTATACTTGTGTATACCTTTTAATTTTTTCACCCTTTTAGGATTGTCAGATGAGAGAAAATCAAAGGTTGAGATTAAGAAATGATAATATATTCATTAGAAAAACAAACAATGAGTTAATCTCAGCTTTTGATTTTCTTTTATCTGATAATCCTAAAAATGTGTAAAACTTTAGTTTTATACTATGTAATTGGATCCTAGTCCTATATATATATATATATATATATGGATAAAGTATTCAATGGTCCCCCAACTATAACATATTGTTTTGTTGGGTTTTCCAATTGTTAAAAGTTACAAAATGGTCTTATGATTATAGGACATTATTTTGTTTTTTCTTTAACTATTAAAAGTTCTAAAATGGTCACTCAAATATTCATATGTTCCAAAGTCGTCATTTTTCATTAAAAATTTGGCGATCATTTGAACTGAACATTAACATATTGACTATGATATGATAAAATCGGATCCATAAAATACATATCAAAAGGTTCTTCGATCAGTTTTATCTTATCTCAGTTAGCAGGTTAACATACAGCTCAGACACTCGTCAGTTTTTTAACTGAAAACGATGAGTTTAGAACATATGAATAATCAAATGACCATTTTTTAACTTTTAATAGACTTGGCCTCAACAAAACAATGTATTTTAATCTGTTTTAGTACCTAAACTTTCATTTTTTTTCAAAACAATACCTAACGCTTAGTTTCATTTCATTATAGTATCTCGCTGTTAAAAACTTAACGAGTTTAGTACCTAAACTATCAGTTTGGTTCATTTTAATACCTAAACTTTCAATTTTTTCAAAACTTAAAGTTAAATTTTGAACGTGGTACTAAAATAAAACAAAAACTAAAGTTTTTTTAACGGTGTGATACTAAAATGGAACAAAATTTAAACTTTAAGCATGATTTTAAAATATTAATAGTTTATATACTAACATTGATAGCTTAAGCACTAAATCAATAATTTACCTTATTTGTTCTTTATCCATAAACTCGGATAATTATCCAACGCAAATAAACGCGAGTATTATTTAAAGCAGTCTCCTCAACCCAAGTTGTATTTGAAGCTTATAAGAATATTTAATCTCCGCTTTGCCTTTCCGTCTCCATTTTTACTTTTTAGTACTTCACATTAACCCTAATTTCTCCGCTTTCTACCCGTCTTAATCCCTCCTTTTACTCTACCTTTCTACTCTTAAAACCCATTCAAATTTTGAGTTTTTCTATTCTGGCTCTCCCAACTATGGAAGCTTTTAGCTTGCTCAAGTATTGGCGAGGCGGTGGTACTATTGCCTGTGTTAATACACGTTCCACCGCCACTTCAACCACCACTATCGTCACTGCCGCCGCCCCTCATCTGGCGGTTGACACCGTAGACGACGACGACGACGTCGATGACGGTCCTTTCTTCGACTTAGAATTTGCAGTCCCTGATGAGGATGGAATAGAGGGAAACGAATATAATGTTGAAGATGAAGAAAGTCAGGATTCAAACGACGACGTTGATTCGCATACCGACGGTGGCTTCTCCGGTAGTCAAACGGGGCTCAACAATGGCCGATCTGAGTCAAACTCGTCTTTGGACTCGGACCCTCCTCAATTTCGTGTCTCGTTTTTGAAGTCGGCTTCCAAAGTTGGGATTTTTTTGTTGAGGTTGAAGAAATCAGCCTCCAATGGAAATGTTACCCCCAGAAAACAAGAAAAAACGAAAGAACCGAACAGCATCAACAACAAGAACAGGTTTTTTGCAGTGAAATTTAAGGTCGAAGAGGTTCCCATAATGTCTCTGTTCTCCAAAGACCACAAGTCCCGTAAACAGCAAACCTCCGACAACAACGCCGTTTCGGATGTAATGCAAAGGTACATTAAGAAAGTTAAGCCACTTTACGTTAGGGAAAAGCTAAGGTTTTCAGGTGCTGTAATGCCACCGTCTACGGTGGCTCAAGAATCGGTTTCGGGGAGGACAACGTCGGCGGCGGCTGGGGAGAATCGGGTAAAGAGGAGAGATGATTCTCTGCTGCAGCAAGAGGATGGAGTCCAAAGCGCCATCTTGCATTGCAAAAGATCCTTCAATGGCTCTCGAGGTATAATTCATTTAAAAGCTCGTTTAAAGATTATACCCTTTTCTTTATTTTTTGGTGACTCCATTTTTTTTTTGTAATGATAGATTCTTTAGAGTCTTCAATGTCGTCAAGTTCAGGCGAGTGACCCATTAATTTGTGAAGGAAAAAGATGAGCAGATCATGCTATAAAGGATGAAGGAAGGAATAAGTTTGTGCAGGAAAGCGAAGGTAGTGTTTATAAAAGCTCATGTTTCTGGGAAAGTGAAAGAGGAATCAGATCTTGTTAATGTTATCCCGCATTGTTTACTATTGTTAATGTTGCGCATTCGTTGTTTCTTTTTTGGCCAAGACCAGTAATATAACAGCATCGACCTTCCCATAAAATTAAATAATCCTTTAGTTATCGAATAAAACAAAACCCATGAACCACAAAACACTGCCATTTGTTTAATGTTCAGTGGAACGCATCTGCATGGGTTTTTAATTTTATGACATTCATTTGAAGCATCTTTGTACATCATTGGGAACTGCGTTAGTCCTCCAGCAACCAGCATGCATGTGACTTAGAGAATATGTCAATGCATTGCCCTTAGCTTAAAAAACATGATGTAAACCAATAATCATTTGATCTATTGAGATGAGATACTAAGTCCCTTAAGTAAGGTTAAAGGTTCGAATCCTGACATTTGTGAATGGAGCAAACTGGGTTGGTAGGATCGTCCTCGCCTCTGCAGTATCCGATCTGAATTAGTCGATCAATAGATCAGATACCAGTGATTAATTTCAAAAAAATAATGTAAAAAAATCTCGTTAACATTCATAAAATATTCACTTTAATTTCTTATCTTTTAACATTTTTTGATCTTTAATACTCTCTTCATATCACTAAATGTGTCTATTGTTGATTTTTAAAAAGTTAAAAATTTTAAGTTTTGATCATTATTATTTTAAGTATTTTAAACAATTAAATTTTATAAAATATATATTTAAAAACTACTTGATTTAAGGTTTTAAGATATATTTTTTCATAATTTTAGCAATAATAAATTTTAAATAATAATAAGTCAAAGTTAAAAAATTTGACCAAAAAATCAACCGTAGACAAATTTAATAGGAAAAGAAAGTACTTTATTTTTAATTTTATTTTAGAATAAAATATTTTTGTTAGATAAATTTTTTTAAGAATTTGAGAGCGGAAAAATAACTAAAATGATATCAACATAAAATAAGACATGTACAATAGATAAAATTTAACGTGGTTCGACATTACCTACCTTTAAGGACGAGATGAACAATAATCAACTATAAACGTAGAGAACAAGATGTTTCTAATAAAATCATACATAACAACTCTTTTAAAAAAATATAGGACACGAAGAGTATAAATACATGATATCACATGTATCCTAAAACCTAATATAGATACCAAAACAATATATATCTTGCAAAATTATATCTGCAACATAAACATGAAAAGTTTAGAGATTCCAAAAAAGATTACTTCTCTTCAAAAATAATTCTCTCCTACATTAAACCTAAAATTAGCTTAGACATTATCTCTATTTATAGATAAGAAAAAACACTTGATCACCAAGAATTCTTATCCACAAGTATTCTTGTCTAAAATAAATATATAAACCTAATTATTAAGAAATCTTCAACTACTATAATTACAATAAAATTTAGATTAATTACTAATTATACTTTATGTTAAAATATAACATAATCGTTAGTTGACTAACGATCGATGTTTATAACTAACATGACATATACCACGTATCTAAAGTGATAATGTGATATTACCATATTTTCAAAGTGATGATATGGCATATATTATATGTTCAAAGTAATGATGTGACATATATCATGTGTCCAAAGTAACGATGTGACATTACCACGTATCTGAAGTTATGAATGACAAACCTTGCGTGTCTAAAGTAATAATGTAATATTTTAAAAAAATAGTCTAGATTGATTATAAGTTACTATTTGTTTAGAACTTTTTTAACCAACTCATAACACATACAACCTACAAATGCAAAGTGCTCATACCCATAACTTCTAGGGAGACTAACATTTCCTTTTACTATTGATATCATTTGATGAGTCTATAGAGTTTAATTATTCCCATTCGAATTTGTAATCATGAACAGGAGTATAAGTAATATATATATGTGTGTAAATATAATACATGCATAACATATTTTGATATGTAAACATAAATAAATGATATATCATTAACGTGATATTTTTTATTATCATGCCACATTTATTCAAGTTCATCATGTTTAATTAATGAATAAAATTTGAAATGGAATGAAGTTTTTAATGGTCATAACATTTCTTATGAAGCCTGCATGTGAGAGGGAGAACATGCGAAATGTCAATGCTCGTATTTTGAAAAGCCTGATTCATGTGATAAAGTTTGATACCCTAAAGTTTAGGTACTCTTATCAATTTGAATTTTTTAAGCATTAAAGATAGGAGGTTTGGCTCCAATTGTCTAATTAATATAATCATGTAGCTGGAAATGAGGAAACATATGATTAGCCCATTGAGGATATATTGGAAAAAGAGAGAGAGAGAGAGAGTATGCAGTGTATTTGGTTTATGGATTTAAGAGAAACATGTTAGCAGATAATAGGGTTTATTGTAAGTGCAATAGGAGACATGTAGCCTCAAAAAAGCCTGCATGCATGGCTTTCTCCTAATAACCTGTGATCAAATAAGGGGATCTACTCTTCGATTAAAAAACACATAATGCTAAAATTGGTTTTCAACATTTATTAGAATTGTTATTTTAACTTATATTCTTTTTTTGTTCGATTAAAAAAACCATAATGCTAAAATTGGTTTTCAACCTTTATTAGAATTGTCATTTTAACTTATATTCTTTTTTGGAGTATTTTGACCCTAACATTTTATTTTAGGCCTAAAAGGCCGTAACATTTTATTAAATAATCACTTTGGTCTTTATTATATATTTTTTAAAACATTTTGACCCTCAAAGTTTTATTTTAGGATAAAAAAACTCTTATTCTAGATCATTAACCGTTTGTTAACTAACAATTTTCTTTCATAGAGAGATCTTTTTGCACCAAAATGAAATGATAGGGGCTAAAATACTTCAAAAAAGTAGGAGTCAAATTGACTATTTAATCAAACGTTAGAGATTTTTTTGACATTATGCCTAAAAAGAAAATAAGTTCGAGTTTGAATTTTGATATTGTTAATAAAATAAATTATATTGAAATAATTATCTTATAATGAGGCTCACTAGCATATATATATATATATAGCCTATCCATCCAAATTTTCTTCAGTAGTTATTTATTTTGTTTATTGTACACACTCTAAAATTTTATTTATATCCACTTCGTATAAAAATTATATATATATATATATATATGAATCCTCCGCTGATGAAACTTTGGATTACTTGATCTAAAGTAGTAGTATAATAAATTAAATATCCACGATTATATAGAGAAAATAACCTCAGTGACCGAAAATGCCTTATAATATACGATTTTAACAAACTTTTTTTGGATTTGCGAAAATGACCAACAAATTCGCAACGCGAACTCCAATTTCGCAACCCAGTTTCCAAATTCGCAACGCGAATTTGTAAATCGCAACACAAAAGTCAAATTCGCAACTGAATTTCAAATTCGCAACTCGATTTTCGAATTCGCAACACGAATTTAATTTCGCAATAGGTTTTAGTTTCGCAACACAAATGTTTTGGGTATATAACTACGCAGCAGCAGCAACTCATAACCTAAATCTCTAAATCGTAACTCATTCCATCTCCATCTATCACTCTCTCCGGCGACATCCGTTCCTATATCCAACGACATCCTTCCCCATCTCTAATTTTTTTTTTACATAATTTTATTTCTATATATTTTTTCAATGATTTCTCTCCCAAATAATCAACTATCAACTTAATAAAGGTAAGTTTTTCTCTAAGTTAGTGATGATATGTAGTTTATAGCTCGTTTGTTTAGTAAATTAATTTACAATTTGTAGAATGAAATCATCTAATATTGATCATGTTTGGATAAATTTGTGTTTTGGAGATTCATGGGAGAATGTTCATGGTGTTTTACAATATGTGCCTTTACCCATGAATCTTCAACTAAAACTGTCATTAAAAAAGTTAACTTATGAAACTCTAATGTTACGTGTTGCAAAGAAATTGAATTTAGAGTCTCTAAGTGGATTTAGGCTATCTTATCAGAGAAAATGTAAAGTTTATTTGTTATCCGACAATGAAGATGTTGAACGATTCATTGCTTACATTAGTGTTTCGCAAGAAGATGATGTTACATTGTATGTTGTTGAACCTAGAAGTAGTGAAGTTGGGTCAGCAGCGGGTAGTAATCAACTAAATTCTTCAACCCCAGTTTGTGGTGCTCACAATGTACAACGTTGTTATCAACCTCAAAATTTAATGGTTCCACCACAATTTCATCACCAAGAAAATTTTGTTTCACCACATTTCCAATACCAAACACAATATCAAACACAATCTCAAAACCCATAACCTTTTCCTAATCCAAATCCCAATCAACTTTCAACACCAAATTCTGGTTTTCATATTAACCAGTTAGACGATTATGAGCCAATAGAAAAAATTGTGAGTACTAGTCAGTATTCGAAATTTGATCTTGGTCAATACCTGGACTTTGATCTTGGTCAATACTCGGATTTTGATGATGTTTCAGAAGAAGAAACATACCCTGCGTGTAATGATTTTGATATTGGTCAATACCCGAATTTTGATGATGAAACAACCGCTGCCGAGGAAGATGTTGTTGATGATAATGAGGAGGAAGTTACGACTATGAATGAACATGTTGAACATCCATTCTGTAATTCATATAACCCTGAATAAGAAAAAGAATAAGAAGTCCCTGAAGAAAAAAAAGAAGAAAATGCCACGGGAGTATAACTGGAATATGCCATAATTACTTTAGATACCGGAAGAAGAGTTGGTAAAGATAGCAGTTGATTGTTACACAAAAGTTATTCGTATCAAGAAAGATGATTGTTTTGATACAAAGGAAGACTTGAAGATATCTTTGTATACAAAATGTGTGGAAGATAGCTATCAACTAAAAGTTAACAAATCAAGAAAAGATCGTTTCGAAACAAGGTGTATGATTGACAAAAACTGTACGTGGCGTATGAT